GAGGACAGAAAAGATTAATGAATGCACAGCTCAAAGACTAGCAATAGTCATAGTGTCATAGAGCTGTACAGCACAGAAACAGATCCTTTGGTCCAAATCATCCATACTGACCAGATTTCCTAAATTAATCTCGTCCCATTTGCCAGCATTTGTCCCATATCCCTCTAAATCCTTCCTATTCATGTACCCATCCAGATCCCTTGTAAATGTTGTAACTGTACCAGCCTCCACCACTTCCTCTGGCAGCTCATTCCATACACGCACCACCCTCTGTGTGAAAAAGTTGCCCTTAGGTCCCTTTTAAATCTTTCCCGTCTCACTTAAACCTTTGCCCTCTAGTTTTGGACTCCCCCACCCTGGGGAAAAGCCCTGGACTATTTGCTCTATCCATGCCCCTCACGATTTTATAAATGTCTATAAGGTCAGCCCTCAGCCTCCGATACTCCAGGGAAAATAGTCCCAGCCTATTCAGCCTCTCCCTGTAGCTCAAACCCTCCAACCCTGGCAACATCTTTATAAATGCTTTGTGAACCCTTTCAAGTTTCACAACATCCTTTCTATTGCAGGGAGACCAGAATTGAACACAGTATTCCAAAATCTAACCAATGTCGTGTGCAGATGCAACATGACTTCCCAACTCTTACACTCAACGCACTGACCAATAAAAGCAAGCATACCAAAAGCCTTCATCACTATCCTGTCAACCTTTGGCTCCACCTTTAAGGAACTATGAGCCTGCGATCCAAGATCTCTTTGCTCAGCAATACTCCCCGGGAGACCAACTGGTGCGGGGGGGATAGGGTTCCAGTTCTTGGGCCACTGGCATCAGGACTGGGGAAAATGAGAGCTGCACTGTTGGGATGGTCTGCACATGAGCAGTGCTTGGGAACTGCATATCTCAGTGTGCTGACAGAGTTTTAAACTGAAAAATGGGGGAAAGGATCAAGCAGTGAATCAATGTGTGGCATGAAGGCAACAGCACAAAATAGCAAGAAGATGGGGAATGAAGTTTGGAGAATGGCAGGTACAGACAGTGAGACCAGAGAGAGTTGTTCGTAGATAATGAGGAAATGGCAGATGAAGTGAACAAATATTCTGTTGTCGCCCCAGAGGATACAAGCAACATCCCAGTATTTGCTTTAAATCAGGAGAGAGGATTTTAGTGAAAGTATAATCAGCTGATAGAGCTGTGGTCTTCATCTTAGGCTCTTATAAAGGGTGGCAATGCATTGTAGATGTGCTGGTTAAGCTTAGAGTCAATTTTCTGAATTTACTGCACTCTAGAAAGGTTCCCTCAGCCTGCAAGGCAAATAAACCTCATTCATTTTAAGAAGGGAAACCAAGGGCTGCTTGATCTCTCTCCAGGGGAAGTGGTTGTTGACCATCATTTAGAAGATTACAACTGGATACGTGGAAAAGCTTGAAGTAATCATGAAGATTCAGCATGTTTTATGAATCGGAAATCACGTTCATTCAATTTATTGGAGTTCTTTGGGGGATAAGAGCCTGTAGACATACTGTACTTGGAATTCCAGAAGGCATTTGATAAGGTGCCTCATTGAAAAGTTAATGTACAAATCAGGAGCTCATTATCTAGGGGATAATACAATAACAAGATAGAAGATTGGCTGGCCATCAGAAAACAGAGAGTATGCTCAAAAAAGCGTTTCTCTGATAGGAAGGATGTGATAAGTGAATTCTCGCAGGAGTTTGAGCTGATGCCTCAGCTTTTTACAAATTATTTCAATGCCTTACACGAGGGGAATAAAGTCATAGTGGCTAAATTTTGAGAAGACACAAAAGTATGTAGGAATATATTTTGTGATGAAGACATAAGGCGGATATAGATAGGTTGAGTAAATGGGAAAAGGTCTGCCAAGTGGAGTACAATGTGGGAAGAAAGTGAGGTTACTCACAATACAGTGAAAATTAAAAAAAATGTATTAGTTAAATGGAGAACGATTGCAGTATAAGGAGCAGAGGGATCTAGGTGTTCCAGTGCATTACTCACAAAAGGTTAGACTACAGGCCAGCAAGTGACTCAGAAAGCTAACGGAATACTATCTTTTATTACAAGAGGAAATGAACATAAATTGCTGCAAAAACTCAGCAGGTCTGGCAGCATTTGTGGTGGGAAGTCAGAGTTAACATTTTGCGTCCAGTGACACTTCTTCAGAACAGACCTGTTGAGTTTTTCCAGCAAAATCTGTTTTTGTTTCTTATTTCTAGCATCCGCACTTCTTTTATAAAGTTAAGAGCGTTATGCTTCAGTTCCAGCGAGCATTGGTGAGACCACATCTCCAATACTGTGTGCAGTTCGGGCCTCTTTATTTATGGAAGGATGTAAATACATTGGAGGCAGATTGGAGGAGGTTCACAAAGTTGGAATGAATGAGTTGTCTTATGAGGAAATGTTGGACAGACTGGGCCTGTTTTCACTGGAGCTTGGAACAGTGAGGGGTGACCTGATTGAAGTGTACACAATGCTGAACACTTTGTCAAGGTGAATGGGGAAAGGATGTTTCCCCTTGTGGGTAAGTCCAGAACATGGGGGCTCTGTGTGAAAATTAGGAGGTAGCTCCTTAAGGACAGAAATGAGGAGGTTTTGTTTTCTCTCAGAGGATTGTGTGACTTTGGGACTCTCTGTCTCAGCAGGCAGTGGAGGTGGGGCCAGTGGTTGATAGATTCTTATTGGGCAGGGGAATCAAAGATTATTGGGGATGGATGAGAATGTGGAATTTGAAACACAAACAGATCGAACATGACGTTATTGGACGGGGGAGCAGATTTGAAGATCTAATTTGCTTCTGCTCCTAATTCATATGCATATATGTGTGTACCCAGGAATTGAAATATCTTTGCGATATACCCAATAATTGTCACATACGTGGGTTTGTAATATACCCAGATTCACAATACTTCGGATTTGTAATGAGCTAAGATTTGTTACACACCTGGGAACTGCAAGATATTCGGGTCATGTAATATACCCAGGATTTGACCTGTATTTAGCGTTTTGGTGATTTCTGCCCTACCTTAAGCCATTCTGCACACATTCAAGGTAGAACATACTTGTCTTTAGTGCCTTTCACTTCCTCCAGATGTCTCAAAGTACGTCAGAGCCAATGTAATGCTTCCTTGAAGTGTAGTCACTGTTGTAACATAGGAAATGTGGCAGGCAGGCGATAAAGAGATAAGGATTTTTATTTTACTGGGGGCCAGGATTCTTAAGGGCTTATACAGCAAGGCGAGGCAGCAAGGCCCAACTGTAACTAGAGCTGGGCGACAGGGAAGGAGGAGTCCAGCTGTTTGGAATTCTCTTCCTGGAGTAGGAGGCTGTTTCTGTCCAGCAAGAATTGTACCTGAACCTATTTGCCAAAAGAGTAGGAGGCACGAGGCAATGTAGCTGTAAACAAAAGGAGAAAGATTGGGTATTTCTCTCACAAAAGCACATGATAGAGAATGATGGACTTAGTTTTAAATGCAATGTTGAAAAAAAAACAGACAATTTGCAAACTCCCACAAACACCGATGTGGCGATGACACAGGACGGGAATAATACTTTTTTAATTCATTCACGAGATGAGGGAGTCGCTGGCTAGGCCAGCATTTATTCTATCCCTACTTGCCCAGAGGATAGTTAAGAGTCAACCACATTGCGTGGGTCTGAATTCACATGTAGCCCAGACCAGGTAAGGATGGCAGGTTCCTTCCTGAAAGGACATTGACGAACCAGATGGGTTTTTCCCCGATAATGATCATCATTAGACCCTCAATTCCAGCTTCTTTTTTTTATTGGATTCAAATTCCACCATCTGCCGTGGTGTGATTTGAATGAACATTAGCTGAGTTTCTGGATTAATACCACTCAGCTATTGCCTGCCGTATAAACATCTACCCAAGACATCTCCCTTCAGGTTGTGAGATCTTTGACACTCTGGGTGTACAGCCTGCAGTGCAGCACTCTCTCTCTGAACTGCCGATGCTGAAGTCAGAGATAACACAGTGTGGAGCTGGAGGAACACAGCAGGCCAGGCAGCATCAGAGGAGCAGTTGATGTTGCCTGGCCTGTTGTGTTCCTCCAGCTCGACGCTGTGTTATTTCTTTCTCTCTCTGTCTGTCTGTCTCTCTGAGCAGAGTCCAAGGCTCGGTGTGGCTTATCTACACACGGTCATGAATTCATAGAATCCTTACAGTGTGGAAACAGGCCATTCAGTCCAACAAGTCCACACTGACCCTCCGAACAACATCCCACCCAGACCCATTCCCCAAATTTCCATTGTCTAACCCACATAATCTACACATCCCTGGGCACTACGAGCAATTTAGCATGGCCAATCCACCTAATCGGCACATATTTGGACTGTGGGAGGAAACCGGAGCACCCAGAGGAAACCCACGCAGACACAAGGAGAATGTGCAAACTCCACACAGACAGTTGCCCGAGGCTGGAATCGAACCTGGGTCCCTGGCGCTGTGAGGCAGCAGTGCTAACCACCGAGCCGCCCCCATTCTTGCAGGAGTTTGAGCTGATGCCTCTCAGCTTTTTACAAATTATTTCAATGTCTTACACGAGGGGAGTGGCTAAATTTTGAGAAGTTGCAAAAGTGTGTAGGAATATACTTTTGCGATGAAGACACAAGGCGGATATAGATAGGTTGAGTAAAATGGGAAAAGGACTGCCAAGTGGAATATAATGTGGGAAGGAAGTGGGGGTTACTCACAATACAGGAAGAATAAAAAAAGCAATATATTAGTTAAACGGAGAACGATTGCAGTATTCCAGGGGGGCAGAGGGATCTAGGTGTTCCAGTGCATTACTCACAAATGTTGACGGACCCGCCAACCTCTTGGAGGGGAGGGAACCGGTGACAGAAAAGCATTGGGCCACTCACTCTCAGCTTTCGAATGGGTCAGGAGCTTGCGGTGTTGGCATCGAGGCCCCACACACCCCCTCCTCCCACTCCACCCCCCACCCCGGGGATGAGGGGTGGGGGACATCAGAACTGGCTGTTGAAGGCCTCGATGAAGTCCTGGAAGTCAAACTTGTCGGGCTCCAGGGCCGACAGGAGGAAAACATGCGGGAAATGGATGCCGATGGCCTGCAGTTTCTTGCAGAAGTGCTTGCGGATTTCCCGCAGCAGGTCACCCTGGTTGAAGTTGTGCTGCTGCTGGGTGTCGCTCACGTAGATGTCGATCTTGGTGCGGGCGAACAGGAAGCTCTTGCCCATGCGGGAGATCTCCTTGGCCAGGTAAAGGAGCTCGTCGTCCATCCGGCCGCTGGAGGTGAGGATGAAGAAGTCGTAGGAGCGCAGGTCCACCTTCTCCACGTAGGCATGCTGCTTGATCTCGCTGGCCTCGATGCCCGGCAGATCCCACAGGAGGATCCGGCTGTTGCCCGGGTAGATGTAGGATTGTGGCAAACCCTTGTAGCTCACCCCAGCCGCTCTGGGCTCGGCTCCCTCCTCCTCCTCGTCGATGCCCCGCATGGCATCCACCAGGGTAGACTTTCCAGAATTTACCGACCCAGTCACGGCGACATTGATGTATTGCTTCCTGGTTGATGTCAAACTCTTTTTCAAGCTAACTTTCCTCCTGGGTGAGCACTGGATGGGCTCCACTTGCACCAAGCCGAAGTAGTAGGAGATGGAGTTTTTAAGCGAGATGAAGATTTCGTAGAAGAACATCATCATTTCCTGTGGGGGGGTGAAAATAGTCACAGAATCACTGTTCAGGGCCAGCGAGAAAATTTAAGAAGGACAGACATACGCTTCAGGTCCTCCCAACCAGCGAAAATGCTCTCTTCTTTCCCCTCGCAAGCCTGGCCACAATGTGAGAAATCAAGTTCCCACAACAGCACGGGCACAGGAGTAGGCCATTCAGCCCCTCGAGCCTGGCTATTCAGCCCCTCGAGCCTGTTTTCCCCCATTCAGTGAGATCATAGGTGACATATGGTCTGACTCCATATCACCGCCTGCACGGTAAAAATAAATGCTATCACAGCATCCTGGGTCAGATGAAAGTTATAATAACTTGGGATTGCAGAGTGCCACGCTAATGCTGTGAGGACACTGTGGCCAATGGAAGAATTTAAAGTCCATTCATAAAACCCCAAGTGTGAAGCTAGTCTCACAGACAGTTACCCGTGAAACTCTCCTCCATTGTCTTTAAAACACATCTGGGTCACCAATGCTCTTTGGGGAAGGAAATCTGCTGTCCTTGCCTGGTCTGGCCTACATGGGACTCCAGGCCCACAACGATACCACTCTTAATTCCCCTTTGAAACAGCCCTAGCGAGTCATTCAGTTCAACGGCAATTGAAGATGGATTACAAATGATGGCCTGACCAGTATGGCCCATGGAAAAATGAATGTAAAAAGAGGTCCGTGTAATGCAGCCTGGGACCTGTTATTGGACATAGCTGGAGTTTTTCTAGCAGGCTGTCTGTGGTTGATAAATCTACCAGAAGAAAGAAGGCCATTCAGCCCTTTGTACTTTTGCCAGCTCTTTAAATGATCGACCCACTTAGTACGTTCCTCCACCCACCTTTCCATTCTTTCCCCAACAGCACCTCAAATTGTTCCCCTTCAAGTATTATTCAACTCCCCCAGTTAAGAGCTCCTTCTTCACTGTCCTCATCAAACACTGCCAGGACAGGGACAATACAGGGTTAGATATAGAGTAAGACTCTCTCT